CCATTTCCTCCACGCTCGAACGGCTGTGTTGCCCGTCCTGTTCTCGCACACGGGCGGTCTTCGATCTCTCGTAGATGCGCCGGTTGAGCACTGCAGGGACCTTTGTTTCCCTCCCCTTCGCCCGACTGCCATGCATCGAACTCCATGAGCGTGACATCACAGGGTCCTCTTTGGATCGAGATCTCGACTCTATTCTTGGTTTTGCGTTGTTTGCTTCCGTCTGACCCGCCGCATCTGGTACCTGGTGGGCTAGATCCGGGTCCGGTGCGCTTGTTACACACACACACGCACACACACACTGTTCGGCTTCCTGCTTGAGCACAACAAACATCAGCAATTTCAATGAGGGAGCATGCTCCTCCAGCAGCGCGCTGTCAAATTCCGCCATGCACTAAGGAGCATGCTGGACCACCGAGACCACTCCACGATGCTTGCTGCCATCAATCACTTCACTCGACAATATGATTGCGAATCCGAGGAGGAGAGACAAGCCGAGTCAGCGGATGGGGAGGGGGGGGGGCCCTTTGGGGGATCACCCGCGGCACTTCCCCGGATTCGCATGCAAAGCGAGTCGTCCCAGTCTGAGTCTGTCTCGCCTACAGGACCCAAGAGTGCCCAGGAGCGTTTGCCATGAAGATCCCCCTCACTTTTCACCCGTGCCAGCGTTGCCCCCAAATTGGCATGATTGACGCCATCGAGATGTGCCAAACGCACAATCATGCCCCCATCCGAAAGGCTTGTTCGTTTGTCACCTGTCAGGTCTGAACGAAAAATAGGTACCAGAGACGATCTGCCTACCAAGCGTGTCTTTTGCTTCGCTACTCCGTGATCCCTGCTTCATCTACGCCTTACACTAGAACCAAGGAAGACTAGGCCCTGCGCTGCTAGTCTTGTCCGTTTGTCTGTCTGCCAGTACCCGCTGTGCAGTCCAGCTGCTTGCTTGCAGCCAGCCAGGTCGAGGGGAGCCAGCATAAGGGCGAGGCATCGAGGGCGCACCACAGCGGCGCCAACTCTGACGCCAGGCTGGAGCTCCCCGTCATGCCGTGCCACGCCGCGCCTTGTGGTGGCGCTTCGCTCGGCGGGAGAAAACGTCAAGGGGTGTAGTTCTCCTGTCCCAACGAATAAGGTAGCTAACTAGGTACGGCATCTGAAGCTTCTGCACGTTGCCGGATGCCACCTCCCACGCCTTGACCAGGCCCCGTTCAAATCCCGAAGCGAGGCAAACCCCCTTATCCCTAACAGTACAGACCGGCACCACGAGACGAGACATGCTGTTTATTTCTTCCTCCTGACAGGCCTGGCTCCGGCTACGACTGTATGTCGGGTCCCTCCGAGGCCCCGCCCTTGAAAGTGTCTTCTTGTGAATGTACCTTTCTCTGCCTGATGTTGCCTGGTAATGGAGGGCTCCCCGCCCAGTTGACAAATGGATCAAGAAATGGCCTGCTGGGGACCACATGTACCAAGCCCGCCTCGGCCGTTTGTCCTGCCTGTTCGCATTTTCTTTTGTCACTTCTCGAGCCCACGCAGACGCTTGTCACTTTAGCTCTCGTATGTTGCCCGGGCGTTCATCGCCAGTTCCCACGCCCGTACCTCTCCGACCCCGACAAGACTCCGTGCTGTTTTCTTTGCGTTCCCTTGTGCCTCTCGGCCATCTTTACCTTGTGCATCCCTGGCCTAGCCCGGGTCCGACGTATATCTGCCTGCCCATCTCCCCACCATCCAACCTTTGCTTCATTCCACTTCTTCCGGTGGG